GAGAGAGAGAGAGAGAGAGAGAGAGAGAGAGAGAGAGAGAAGAGAGAGAAGACAGACAGACAGAGAAAGAGTGAAATGAACATCCACCCCCATACATTTTACTCTTTCCGTGATTAAATTTTCCCGTAGTGGGCGTGCCTCCCGCGCCCCCTCTGCGCAGTCCCTAACGCCCTCTCCCTGTTGCAGCGATGGTGGCGTGGTGGGTGGTGGGCGCCTGGATCCTGGACGTGGCGCGGGCGTTCTGTCCCCCCGGCTGCTCGTGCAACGACACCGCCCCGAGCGCCCGCTGCGTGGGCGGGGGCATCAACGTGATCCCCATCCTGTTCAACCCCGGCCTGCGGCGCCTCAACCTCGCCCACAACGCCATCAAGTCGCTGGACCAGACGCTCGTCTTCCTGGACAAGCTGGAGGAGCTGGACCTCTCGCACAACCTGCTCACGTCCATCGACACGGGCAACTTCGAGGAGCAGAGCCGCCTCCGCGAGCTCAGCCTCGCCAACAACAACTTCACGGCGCTGTCGCCCGGCGCCTTCAGCGGCCTGGCGGCGCTCAGCGTGCTGGACCTGAGCCACAACAGCCTCTCGGAGCTCCCCGTGCGCGTGCTCGACGACCTCCCCCACCTCACGGTCCTCAATCTCGGCCACAACCGCCTCCACATGCTCTCTAGGAGGACCTTCAGAGGCCCCCACAGCCTCCTCGTCCTCGACCTCTGTGATAACTACTTCCGCGACGTCCCGACGGAGGCCCTCGAGGACCTCCTCACCCTCCAGAAGCTCCACCTCTGTCGGAACCGCCTCACGCGGCTCGAGGCCGACTCCTTCCCGACGGACACCCTGGTCGAGCTCTCGCTGGAGACGAACAGCATCGACGCCATCGAGGACGCGGCCTTCGCTCGCCTGCGGCACCTGCGGACGCTGGACCTCGCGTGCAACCTCCTGGCCGACGTCCCGACGGACGCCCTGGCCTCGCTCCTCGCCCTGGAGGCCCTGTACCTCAGCAGAAACAAGCTGCGCGCCATCCAGGCCGACGCCTTCAGAGGGCTCGGCCGCCTCAGGACCCTGGACGTCTCGCGCAACCCGCAGCTGTCGAGCATCCACGGCGACGCGCTGCGGGAGTGCGCGAGCCTGCAGAGCCTCACGATCTCCAACAGCCCCGGCCTGCGGCGTCTGCCCGAGGGCTTCCTCTCCTCGCTGGTCGCCCTCCACAACCTGGACCTCAGAGCCAACGGCCTCGAGGGGCTGCCCGAGACGGACTTCGACTGGGGCTCCTTGAAGACGCTGGACCTCCGGGACAACCCCCTCGTGTGCAACTGCTCGCTGCAGTGGCTGGCCTACGCGGTGAGCGCCACCAACAGTTCCTTGGCGGCGCCGGACCTGCAGTGCGCCAACCCGGAGAAGCTGCGCGGCCTCTACCTGTCCAGGTACTCGTCGCCCGTTCGTAGGAAGCAAAAGTATTCGTTCACGTGTCCATGAATGTATCTTTCGACTGAAAGAACAAATATCATTAACAGTTTCTTTAAAACGTGAACAAAGTTTCATCGTAATAGGAATAAATCGCCTCGAGATATATATCTTTGGAACGAAAGCAGAATATCTTAAAGCAAAATTCGAATTCATTGCAGCGTTATAAAAAGCCAGCTGGAAACTCGAAATAATGTTACAACAAATGACTTGAAGATATACTTAATGTCTTTGCAAACATGTGCTCATTAAATTAACATAGAAATGCACAAACTACGAAAAACAACAGCAGCAACAACAAAAAAAGGACAACATACATATTGAAATAGACAGTATATATAGATCAAATTGAAAGCTGAATAGCAGATTTAAAACGTAGTAAAAATATAATAACCAATAGATTCATTACATTATTGCATTCAGTCAGAACAACAAACGTAATTGTTTGTGCAAGCGAACCAAATGCAAAAATGTAAAGACAAAAGCATCATTAATACACTTTAATACATTTAATATCTTGCAATAGTGCAACACTAATAACGTTGAAAATGTTCACAGAAAACACAGAGTAGATTTTTCTTTTGTTCTTTGTCATGTCAAGGTTTTGTTATTTATTGTCATTATTCTTTTTATTTTCCTACTTATGCTCCTTCATTTTTTCTCTTTTTTGCGGTTTTTGTTATTTATTCATTCATTCTTTTCTTTCCGCTTTCTTGTTTTATGTTTCTTTCGTTTTATCTCTTCTTTTTCTTCATCATATCTGATTTTTTTTTTCTTCTTCGTATTTTTTCTTTCTTTCTCTATTTCTTGTTTATGTATTCTTCATTTCTTTCTTAATTCGTTTATTTCTTCGTTTTGTTTTATTTCTAATTTTCGTCTATCTCTTCTTTATTCTGTCTTTTTTCTATTCTCCTTAATTTCCTTTTTCGTCTTATTTTCTTATTGTTTTCTTCTGCGTCTAGTTTCCTTCTCGTATTTTGTATCTGATTTTATTCTCTCTTCTTCTGTTTCTTTTTCCCTTCATGTTCTTCTCTTTTCTTCTTTCTCCTTCATTAGACCATTATTTTCTACATGTTCTTTATTCTTCCTTCTATCATTTTCTCCTCCTTCTTTTCTTCTATTTTTCTTCTTCTCTTTTTCTTTTTGCCTTTTTTTCAATTCTTTTTCTCTTCTTTGACTTCATTCGTTCCCTCTTTAATGACAACAAAACGATAATTACTACACGGATATCAACAACAATGCAAGAAAATCGCCTTTAATAATGTCTATAACAACTACAACAAAATTCAAATTAGAAACATTTATTTGTATTTGAATTTGAATAATAGTAATTACAATAACAAAAATAACAACAATAACTATTAGTGATAATAACAGAATTTGAATAATAGTAATAATAACAGAATTTGAATAATAGTAATAATAACAGAATTTGAATAATAGTAACAATAACAATATTGTTAATAGTAATAACAAGACTACTATCCACAATAACATTCATAACAAAGACACTGGCAGCTACAGCAGTAATTACAATAACAAAAATAACAACAATAACTGTATTAGTGATAATAACATAATCTAATAATTGTAACAATAACAACAATATTGTTAATATTAATAACAAGACTACTCTCCACAATAACATTCATAACAAAGACACTGGCAGCTACAACAACAAACAACAATACCTACAAAAAACGCTATAATCAAGTTTTAAAAAATCCAAATTGAAAAATTAAAAGCAGCCCATTTTTCGTCCGGCCTCAGCCTCATGAAACTGATCTGCGAGCGACAAATGAGGTGCCATTTAAGCCCATGAAAAGCCAAGCCACTCTATAAAACGATGGCATCAAAATGAAATTATATACAGTGGCTATTAGAATAAGGATATTGGCCTCGTTACTCACTCGATGGAACTCAGGTCAGGCTGATGAGTAGGTGAGTAACGCGTCTAAAGATGAGGAATATAATGCTTTAGCGTGATTTTAGGAATGTTGAGTAAAGTGATGAGTGAGATATTATTATGCCGTATTGATGATGAATCTAGTAATATAAAAAAAAAGTAGATATGCGGTGTTTATGATGAGTTTAGTGATGAGTAAATTAGGTGTTGTTAAAAGGCTGAATCTAGGAATTAGTAAGAAAACAACATACTAGTGATGAGTCCAAGTGATGAAAAATAAAAAATAAAAATGTACCGTGTTTATGACAAGTTTAGCGATGAATAAGATCATGCGTTACCGTGCTGTTAGAGTCTAGTGATGAGTGAAAAATAACATATTGGTGATGAGTCCAATGATCAATAAAAAAAACACCATACCGCATTCATGATAACGATAGAGATGAATAACATAATGCGTTGTCGTGTTCTTAACATGTTGTGTCTCGGGATGAACGATAGAAGATACTTTATTGATAATAAAGTCTAGTGATGAATGAGAAATCAACTTATGTTTGTGATGAGTCTAATTATATGTGAGAAAACAAAATACTGAATTGCTGATGAGTCTAGCCATGAATAAGAAAACATGTGTTTATGATGAGAACTGATGAATGAAAAACAACAACATATGTTTATGATGAGAACTGATGAGTGAAAAAACAACATATGTTTATGATGAGAACTGATGAATGAAAAAACAACATATGTTTATGATGAATAAAAAAAAAAAACAAAAAAAATGTTTATGATGAGAACTGGCGATGAATGAAAAAAAAACATGTTTATGATGAGAACTGATGAATGAAAAAACATGTTTATGATGAGTCTAACGTGTGATAAAACATGCCATATTGATAAAGAGTAAAATCATTAATGACAAATGTCGGCTCTAGTCTACATTTATTAAAAGATAAACAAATGATTATTTCAGTAATAATGTAGTGATACGATAAAGCAGACATAGATAAATGAATTATTAAATACACAATTCATATAAGAATTACTAAGTTCACAATGTTGTTCTAAATATAACAGAGAACCGAGGAAAAAAAAAAAGAAAAATAACTCATTAATAATGAAATCAAAATGATAATGTTACAATAACAATTATATACGATGGCTATTAGAACGAAGATATTAAACGGTTTCTGATTTAATGAAACTCAGATCGGATATTAATTATCAAATGACTCTTGCCTTTCATCAAATAATTGATATCAGAGCGATAGTGGGAAAATATTAACGAGTAAAAGTTCAGTAATACAATAGTGAGTGATCCAGCGAATAGATAATATAATGAATAGACGAGAAAAAATGAGTAAATGGATGCATGGAGGAAAAATGAATTATTAAATAAGAGAAATGCAAGAGTGATGAAGAGTAATGAAGCTATGATAATGATAACGACATAAATACAGAAGGAACTGATAGATAGATCAGAAATCAATCAGTAAAATAACTGTAGTTGTTATATTCCCAAAAACGATAACGGGCGATTGATAGATAGATAGATAGATAGATAAATAGATCTTATTAGATACATGAATTTTATCATTTCACTTGAATTACCTGTATTTGTTTGTCTGTTTCTCAAC